CCACAGGGGGTGACAGACACTACGCGTTGCCCAGCACTGCTCGTTGTTCAGTCGTTAAGTCGTGTCCGACTTCGTGACCCCATGAACCATATCGCGCCAGGCCTTCCTGTCCTTCACTGCCTCCCTGAGTTTGCTCAGCAAGAACAAGCCACCATTGAATCTAAGCCAGGTCTGCGGGGAACAGCCTGTCCCTGCCCTGGGTCAGCATCTTGTGTGAAGGTGACCCGGCGCACCCGAACTCCTCTTCCCCATTAGCCCCAGGGGAGGGGAGGGAAGGGCAGGTCCTGTGGCCCAGAGACCCCTCTGGCTTCCTGGAGAAGGGGACTCTCAGCATGGAAGCTGCAACAGCCCCCCCAACTGACCTGAGTTCGGGCATTCAGGAGCTGCTGGAAACCTTCCACCTCTTTGCTCTCCTCCACAGCTCGCTCCTGGGAAGGACAAGGGGGGGAGTGAGGAGGAACCTTTGCCCTTCTGCCCCTCCCACCCTGGGCATCACCCTTGGCGGCCTGCACACCATCAGGACGCCCAGCATCATGTCATAGTTGTTGATGAGGAAAATGAGCTGCTCCGTGCGGGAGGAAAATTCGGCTGCCACACGCAAGACAAAGTTCTCCACTTCGGTCTGGGGGGTAGGAAGGAACAGATGGCATCAGAGAACAGGCTCACCCACACCTCTATCTGGGCCTCCCAATACTAGGAGGTGCAAGAGTTCCCCCAAGGGCTGGGCAGAGGCCAGTGAGTAGCGAGACAGACCAAGGACAGGTGGGGGGGAGAATTGGAGGCTGCTCCTGCCTGGCCCCTCAACTCCTCAGGAGACCCCACACTCCAGCCAGTGGCTAGCTGGCGATCTGGCACGCCAAGAACCAGGAAGCCAGACAGTTCAGAAATGGTGGGTGAGCGCGCAACGCAAACAGCTAGATTGCTGACAGGTCACGGCCTGCTTTCCAACCCATCAGGGGAGGGGCAGCCCCCCATCTCTCTGGACCTTCAGCACCACTGTCAAGCTGCTCTTCCTGCAAGGACGGTTTGCTCAGCTCCACGTCCCGTGGAAGGGCCTACCTGGAGCTGCCCCAGCAGGGCCAAAGTCCGCTCGTGGGGGAAGGTCTGGTTGATGCTGACGATGGCCGAGGAAAACTCTGCGTATCGGCGGGTGATCTGCAGGCGGGGGGAGGGGGGAGTGGAGCACAGAAGCAGGATTAGTGGCCTGTGGGCTCCCCAGACTCAGAGGTCCCCCCTTCCTGGCCAGACCGAGCGTCCCTGCCCTCCGCCAGACCCTCCTCCAGTGCTGCTCCAACCCACTACCAGGACCCTCTGCCGATCTCCAGCTGCCAAGGGGCTCCAGCTACTGGGGAGCTTCTCCCACTCTTTGCCACAAGCCCCCCCCCCCATTTTCGGCCCTTTGGGCTGCAGGGAAAAAGCTCAGCTTCCCCCCCACCCAGCACAAGGGCCTGTTCACGCCTCCCTTCCAGAGGTGAAGCACCGCTCATGCACTCTTGTGCAGACGTACATAGTGGGGCCGCGTGTCAAGGAAACCCAGCTTCTGGGGATCAGTGCTCTGGATGCTGTGGATGTTCAGCTCCAGAATATACTCAAATCGCGGCCAGAGCAGCTCCAGCAACGTGTCCCAATACCTGGGGGGCAGAGGGGGAAGCATTACCCAGACAGGCTGCCGGACCCCACCGGCCCCTGCTGGCCAAGGAGGCGCCCGCTGCCCAGCAGGAGGGAGATGGGGCGGGGGGAACGGAGTGGGCCGGGCTCACTTGTCGATGGCCGGGACATTACGCTTGGCCACGATGGCCTTGAAGCGCAGGACGATGTGGATGCAGAGGAAGATGGCGATGCTGTCGTAGCAGTCACTCATGTAGGCGTTCATGTGCTTCTGCAGGGGGAGAGAGAGGGGAAGCATGGCTGGGGGTTCCCCACCTGTCGGGCCCCTTCCCTCCCAGAGGTTTTTTTAATGCCTGGGGACCACGGGGCCCCTCTGGAGCAGGACGTAGCTTGGCCAGCAGAAGACCCCGAGGCCAGAAGGATCAGGAAAGGGGGCTGGGTACACCCCTGGATCGGGGGTGTCCACAGGGTGTGATCGAAGGTCTGCCTGTTTTTTAAGTTCCTCATCCACAAAACACAGGCGGAGCTCGATCCCCCCAAGAAAAGGGGGCGTCCTGGTCTAGCCACCCCCCCAAGATGCTTACAAGGAACATGGCCAGGGTCTTGCCCATGACGGCGTGGAAGAGGTCCAGGGCGGGCGTCCCGGCCACCAGGAAGAAGTCGCAGAGGAAGAGGTATTCACGGCAGCTGTTGTCTAGCAGGGCGTAGTGCTGGCTCCGGAAGAGCGACTCGAAGGGGTACTGCACAGAGGGAGGCAATGCTGGCAGGACTGATGGGGCAGGGCCTCGGGACCCCCGTTGCTGTTCCAGGATCCGGCAGCCCTCTCCAGTTTCCACCACAACTCCCTACTCAACCAAAGTCCCTGTTTCTCCATGTGACTTTTGGTCAAACGGGAAAAGCAAGCGAACCCCAAATGGAACAGACACAAGGATCAGGCACTCCCATCCCCTGGGCTACAACTACCCTCATTCCCAGCCAGGCTCTGCTTGTGGGGACCTGCCAGTCTGGAGGGCCTCGTGTGGCATGAGGCTTGCCTATGTAAACTAGAGGGCCCCAAAAGGATGCAGAAACACAGCTGCTGCCACGTAGAAAGGAAAGGAGGTTACAGAGGGAGGGCAGCAGATCCCCCGAGGGCCTCGTGGAAGCCTCCTGTGGTATTCTGGGAAGTGGCTTCCTGTTGCTGTCCCAGGGGACGTATTTAGCCAATGCTCTGGAGTCTCCTGGGAGTCTCCCATCCAGGCTGCAGCCAGGTGTGACTCTGCTCCACTTCTGGGGGTTGGCCAAGGAAGCCCCGTGGGCCGACCTGCAAAGTCCTTGGGTGTCGTGCTCGACTGACAGCGCTCGCGTTACCAGGAGGAGGGCGAGCAGGGCAGGGCCTTGCTTACTCGGATGTCGCTCTTCTGCGCCGAGTGTGGCACAATGATGGGGCCTTCAAGCTCGGCGCTGCTGATCACGTTCCCCCGATTCCCCAGTGTGAAGATGGTGTTGCGGCTGCGGAGGGACGGCTTGGAGAAGAAGCGTGGCCAGCGGGAGTCAAGGGCCACCCGAGAAAGCAGCCCGTCACAGTAAGGGCCACCTCACCTTTCCCCAGATCAGCATCCTTCCTCCCCCTCCCCGCTGGCAATGGGGGGCAGCTCCAGACATGAGCCAAGCTGCCTGCAAAAGTCATTTGAGTGCTGGTCCAACCCCACTGCCCCCTCGGGTCCCCCAGGAGGAAAGGATATCTTTCTTGCCTGTGTCCTCCACCCCCATGAGGTCGTCCTTCTCAGCCACTTCCTCGTACTGAAGATTTGGGAGACAAAAAACGAGGGTCAGCTTGGCACAGCAGGGCGAGGGGGCAGGAACCCCTGTGCCAAGAACACTGGCCCAGCAGGGGAGACCAGTTCCCCTGCCCAGGTACCTCACCTGGAGCTTCATTAGTCGGTTGGTGTAGGACTTGAAGTAGCTGAGGTAGATCTTGCTCATGGTGTCCACGTACTCGTCGCGGACCTCTTTGGCGATGATCCGCTCGTGGCCCAGAAGGAACTGGTAGAAAAACCTGCTCAAAAGGAGGAGTCGGGAGGAGGTTGACTTGTCCCCACCCCACCCCACGCCAAAGAAGAGGAGAGGCCTTCCCAATTCGCTGTCCCCAAACCCAGCATGAACGTCTGCTAGGAAATGCCATGCAGCTACTCTCTGATCACCCAACGCGAGGGGGGCCGGGATCCTGCACAAAGCAAAGGATTCTGGGAGCCCAAGACTGCTGCCCAGGAGCCCAGGGCATGCTGGGGGGCTTGCAGCTGCTTGGGTCACCCTCCTACCTGTACTTGAGCAGAGCATTCTGGGGAATCTGGTAGTTGGTCATAGGTTTGCGGAAGGAGTAGACCTTCTGCAGGATGGACTCTCGGATCTTGGCCACCGCCTGGTGGAGGGAGAACACCACGTGCTGGGAGAACAGCACCAGGGCCTCGAGCCTGAACCCCTTTCCCCCACTTCCCTGACAATGCTGCAGCGACAGCCTTGCTGCCAAGGGGGAAAAGCACTACTTGTATGCATTGGGAGGCCATCTGCTGTAACGGGTAGAAGGAATAACCGGAAGGAACAAGAGGAAGAGCCGCCACGAGACAATGGTCAGATAAAAGAAATTCGGGTCCGGGCCAGAACAGTAACCTGAGAAAGCACCTCAGACCTGACCCTCCCTAGTTCTCACGAAGATAAAGGGAGGGAGGGGGAAGCGCATTCAGACATGCAAGATTCTTTTCCTGTAACCTTATAAGAAAAGTATCTTTAGTTTGCCTGTCTTTGGTTCCAAGTTTGGTCTACCTTCGAGGGCTGATGTCCACACAGTTGAAGGGCCCACCGCTCTGCGCGCTGCCAAAGGAGGCTGCATCCAGCATCCAAGCCTCGCACCGCAGCCCTTGCTACCTCGTGGCCCTGGCCAGGTGCCCAGCTTCTCACCTTGGTCTTCAGCTTGTCCAAGATGTCAGCCACATCCGTGCATGCCATGGTCTCGCGGAAGGCCTGTTCCTTGACGGCGTTGATCTTGCTATTCAGCTCATGCAGCTGCTCCAGGAAGGCCTGGTCAGTCACTGGCGTCTCCAGGATGGTGCTGTTGACAGAACCAGGGGAACATCCACTGGGCACCCGTCTTTCAGGGCTTCCCCTCCCCCTCCAGACTTGCACGCTCTCCCTTCTCCCAGATCCTGTCCCCTCCTGACCGGCTGGACCCTCTGCCATCCTCTGCCCTGCCAGACCTGATCATGACATTGGGCACCACCAGCTCATCCACCAGCTGGGAGAGGCGCCCGCGGACGGCCTGGCGGTTGCGCAGCCGAACGTTCATGGCGACCGACTGCTCCTGCAGGGTCTGGATCTCACAGCTGATGCTGCTCAGGTCGGACTGGAAGGAGCTCAGCATGGCCTCCATGCGCTGGGAAGAGGAAGAGGAGCCCTCAGTAAGAGAGGGGGGCTGGGCAGGTGCAGCCAGAAAGAGAGAGGACACTGAAGCCCAGGCAACAGAAATAGCTCTGAGCTACGAATTTCTGCACTCGCGGTGGGAGGTTCCCAGACCGAAAAAGAGTCAGGAGACCGATGTGTGAACCACCGCTGCAACCCCCTACAATGCTGGAGAAGAGACCCAACACTTTGCAGGTTTGCCGAGAAACAGGAAGAAGATAAAGAGAGCCCCACCTCCACACCCACGTGCTTTGCGATACACCAGATTGCAGAGGGGAAATAGCGCAATTGACGTACGGTCATGACATCACGTACAGACATGATGTACAGTAAGCACAGCCCAGGTAAAGCTTCTTTTTTAACATATGTGAACATACCAATGTTTTCTGTTCATTCCAGGGTACGTAAATGGTGACTGAACAAAAAACTATGAAAAATCATGGAGGCCTTGGGGATCTCTGAACTTGGTTGTTTTCTTGCAAATGTTTTGTTACCCAGCTAAGTAACATCTCCAGTGCTAGAATGGAATGGGGTTTGCTCTCTGTTTATATACCGTACCATGCAATAAGCACATAGGGATAAGCCACCATTCAAGAGAGAAAATAGGAAAACTAAGAAGGAAACAAAAAGACCAGAACACACCTCCTCCCCAGCAGCCAATACCCAGATAAGCAGGGATTAACACCAGACAAACAATCAGGCAGAAAACAATATCCCAGTCAAGGAACTACCAGGGAGAAAACCCACAACCCCTCCAACACTGGCAGGGCCAGCTACTATATAAAAACACAGAGCAAACCCCACGCTCACTCGCACTGATGATGTTACCTAGTTGGGTAAGGAAACGTCTGTAAGCAAACCACCAAGCTCAGAGAGCACCAAGGGCTCCACAGTTCAACCCCAAGTTACGTATATTCTCTTCTACCGAAATGAACATATTTCATGTTAAAAAACGTGTTAAAAAAGTCAAAGATTTCAATGGGATATGCTTACTTTTTTGCACGACTGCAATTTTTGTAACCCTGTTTTTTTCTTCTCAGTAAATCTTACTGAGAGCTTTCGCGAGAATCGTTCTTGGAAAGAATCACTTTTGGTTTAAACTGACAGACTCAGTGGGGGGACATGGGGGGCAGGGAGTGACGTCGCACGCTTTATGTCATCGGGCAAACGATGATGCTGTGACGGGCGAGACCTCTGGCTTGTAGCAGATGCTGTGGAGGAGGAGTTGTCCTTCATATTTCTATGGCGGGGAGGGGGGAGGAGCCGTCTGTGGCAAAAGACCCCAGGATGGGGGAGCTGGAGTTCTGCTGCCCTTCCTCAGGAGGCTCTCAGGAAAGGGGGTCTCTCGGCTCAGAGAGACATCCCTGCCTTCTGCCCTGGCTTCAACCTCCTGGACTTCCTGGTTGTCTCCCCCGCAAACCCTAATCAGGACCAATCCGGCTTACTTTTTGGAGGTCACCCGCCAAGACAGCTAGGCTGAGGGCGAGCATTCAGTGGGTGTGAGGAAACTGGTCTGGATTTGAGCTCGTGCACAAGACCCCCTCTTTGGATCAGCCTACCCAGCTTCTGCAAAAGTGGGGAAGGAGGCATCCACCCCAGAAGCCCCCTTGCCAGGAGAGCCAAAGGGGACGAAGGGCTCCTCCCACGCTGGCCTTGGAGTCCCCCCCGGTTCTGCTATGTGACCCGGAGCCTTCGTTCGCACCACAGGACAGACTTGGTGAAGGGAGTCCCTGAGTCAAGCCATCCCAGGGAGTGTGGTAAGCCTGGGGTTAGCGCACTAACCTTCAAACGGTACAATCCCACCCCCAAAGGAAGCCCTGTCACTCCCTCCAAACAGGAAAAGGGCCAGGTCCCCAAAGGGAGGAGGAAAAGCAGCTCACCTCCAAGACGGCGTCGCAGGCTGTGATCTGGGTGTGCAGGGAGGCAATGTTCTTGCTCTCCTTAATATCTGGGCTGCCTGCTAAGGACCACAGTGGACCAAGGGGAGAGGGCGATTCAGCCCAGGATCCAGGGGCTCCCCAGCACCAGCTGCCCTCGAGGGGCAAGGGAAGACCCCAGGGCCAGCCTCTTCTCCCCCAACCAAGTGAGGGATACAGTCCTTGATGGAGGCGTTTTCAATCTCCTGCAGTTCCTGTTCCACCTGCTTGGAGTACTGCCGGAGGTCCACCCCCTGCCAAGGCAGAGAGAGAGGAGTGAGAGAAGGAAGGCCCCCTGTTGCCCCCAAGCCCCATCCCGGGCCCAAGTCCTGCCAGGCCGGCTTCTGGCCTCCCCCACCGTCTTCAGGGCCTCCTGCACGAGCGCGTCTTCCAGGTTGGCTTGGATGTGAACTGAAAGAGAGGAAAACAAGCTGGCTGGGGTGGAAGGCCTCTGCCCCTCCAACTGAGCCACCCCAGGCACTGTGGAGGGGCTGGAGTCCCTTCTTCTTTCTCAGCCACACCAGCCAGAATCCCCCCCTTGTCAAGCTGCGGAGGGGGGGGGGGGGTTGGGCCCCAGCAGCTCCTAGCCGGGACAGCTGGGAATGGCTTCTTTCAACAGCAGAACCTTTCTGGGAGAACTGGGACCAGATACTTTTTGCACACGTGTGTTTCCCGGGGGGGAGGGGTACAACACAGCACTGCGATAAATGCAGCGTCACTGCAGCTTCGCCCGGGCACCCACGTTTCCACCCTTCTCTGAAAGTGACCGGGCTGGTGGGAGTCCCCTTTCCCAGCTCTGCCTTTTGGGAGAAAGTTTTCCTTGTTGAAGAACCATTAGCCTGACCCCCCAACCGAAGACCACCACAGTCCAGCTCTAGAGAGGCTGCAGGGGTAGATTGGGGGAGAACGCCCCGCAAAAGTCTGCCCAGCTTACTGTCCACTTCGTCCAGAATGAACTCTTCGGAGGTCAGGTCAAGCTCTCCCAGGTTCAGTGGCAGCGCCTCGTCGCTCTGGCCCTGAGGGACACACCCAAGGACCCCGTTACGCCCTCAGTTGGGGGGTCAAGTAGGGCAGCCCGCTTTGATGGGAAGGGCCTTGGGCCCCCCCTCTCCTGCAGGGCTGGAAGCGAGCGGGGAAGATGGCAGGCGGGGGATTCAAGGTAGACACAATGCCTTTCGCAGCAGCACTCGTTCCTGTGTGTGCGTGACGGCAGGGGCTGGTCTAGAGCAGCGTTTCTCAACCTTGGTAACCTTAAGAGGCCTGGACTTCAACTCCCAGAATTCCCGGCTGGGGTTAGGGTTAGGGTTCTGGCCGGGGAATCCTGAGAGTTGAAGTCCAGACCTCTTAAAGTTACCAAGGTTGAGAAAGGTTTGCGAAGGAGGTCAGAGCACAGAAGCTCTCGGAGGTTCCATTCAGTAGGGAAGGATGGGCCGTGTAGTGCACCGGACCAGAAGGAAAGCCTCCTCCTTCCCGTGCGTTCTTTTTCCTCCTCCGGTCTCCCTCCACCGGTCAGGGCTCTTTCCCGGCCGTCGGATGGGTGGCGGGCCAGGCCCACCACCGGCGCCGGCGTGCAGGATGTCGCGCGAGAACGGGGGGCCCCTTGGCCCTAGGGCACAGGCGCTCGCTGGGGCCCCTTGGCCCTAGGGCACAGGCGCAGCCGCCGCGCGCAGGCGAGTCTCCCTGAGCAGCGCCTTGCGGGACCTTCCAGGCAGGGTCGCGGCTTTGCGGACCGAGGGGCTCCTCCCACGCCCCCCCTCCCAAGGCAAGAAACGCATTTCGCTGCTTCCGGGGCCCCCGACTAGGCAGGCAGCCTCAGTCGCGGGGGGCAAGCAGGG